GTACCGTCTGTAGTTAGATATCGCTCTATGGCCTTTGGGTCATATTGAGCGCTCTACAGGATGAGCCATGCCGCTTACGCATTGCGCACGCTCACTGCTTGCAGTTTGAGCGCTCTGGCATGGTTTTGATGTCCCACATTCGTGAGGCATCAAAGGTAACTGTAAATAGCAGTTACTTTCGTCCTGCTCATCAGCACTACACTGATGATGCCCATAAGGCCGAAACGGTACCGTCTGTAGTTATATATACAAGTGTGTTTTCGTTTCGTGTTTAACATTCCATCCTACCCTTTTCTGCAGTCTGTGCTTTTCCATGTACAATCTTGTATCAAATTATATTTTTGATGACCAAGTTTAAATAATTCTACAGGATCTTGGTAAGAGCCAAAATGTGAATTGAGCTCCCTTCTCAGCTTTATTTCGGGGTTCACGATCTCTTCTTCGGTGTATTCATAAGAAAAATCTTCGTCCTCATCCTCTTCATCAAAACTACTAGAAAATACATGCATGCAGAAACCCTCGCCTTGCTGACAAAACCGTTCTATGTTTGCGATGTTACTCTGAGTGCATATCCACACCGTCCTGACCGCGTAGCTCAGTTGGAAGAGCATTGGGCTAGTATTCCAAAGGTCGTAGGTTCGAATCCCACCGTGGCCGGGCATATTTTTCAAGCTCGGCCGGTGTGGATGTGCACTCAGAGTAACATCACAAACATATTATTCACCTGAGTACACAACACCAACACAGAAAAAAAAAACGTTGTATTTTCCGAACAGGAAGTATCTAGAGTAGTTGTCATGGTAACACGATATTTTTTAAGAATATTCTTACAAATGAAAATCGCCTAAAAATATCACTTTAAATTACAAAATTATCAATTTCCCAACATATATATGTTAGGTGTATACATTATACGTAATACAAGCTTCAATTTAAGGTAAAATTCAACCACAAACAATTCACAAAACGTTTTAAAGTGTTCTTTATAAAACCATGGATAATAAAATAAAATATTACATAATAAATATTAATAATAATACATATTATTATTAAAATATTATAAATATTACATAATAAATAAATATTATATAATAAAATAAATTTTACAATCCATGATAAAACTAAACTGCCTTTATTGGCTTTAACTATTAAACTTTGAGTTTGCAATAAAATTATTTCAAATTCTCGCTTGCAAATAACTTTGGTCTTTGCTTTATTTTTATTTAAAAAATTCAATATAATAAAAAAGGGAATCAATATTAAAGTTACACTGAAACACAGAGGAATCTATATCTTTACTCTTTGACTGAAATTTATATATGCTGTCTTGTTTAGTTGTTTCATATACGCAAAGGCCATCGGGTTTTAAAGCCATTATAAAATCAATATTTAAAACAAACTTACCTTCGTTAACGTCGGCTCCCTTCTTTTAGCTGATTCTTTCGCCCTTTCTTTCTTGAAATTTACAAAATCTTGCAGAAATACGAGCAAAAATGAAATATATTTGCAAGAAATTTATCAATCATCAAATCAAGAAATGTTTGCTATTTCGCTGTCGTCGTGCAGTCGTTATAATGCAAACTTTAAATTGGACCAATCAGTGTCCGTTATTCATGACGATCCGCCATATTTTTGAGATCAGTGAGGATGACCACCCATCGTTGGTGACCGACGCCCGCGCTCATTGATGAATTTTAGACTTCGCTAATGCTTTCGTTTCCCCGGGTGTAAATAGCCGGGGGGGGATTAGTACCCTCGCACGGCGCTTCGCGCCGCCGGCTCGGGGATAATTGAAATTCCAGTCACTTGCTAACCTGAGTATCAAACCCTAGCTTAATCCGATCGATCTCCATTATACAGTGTCTCCAAAAACCTTTAGAAATTCACCTTATTGTTAGGCTATAATTTGAATGCCTGAGTACTATATACTAAACTCATGGGTACGTATAAACAATTGAATCGAATTTTATTTAAAAGTGTTTGGTTTCGTTCAACATATGATTATGTGCCTATTAATTTAACGCAGCGAGTAAAACAGTAAAAACTCTGTGGTCAGTTGAACAATCGAACTGATAGTATCTACTATGTAATTTGACCATTTTTGTGTAGTTATTCTCCTTCATGCTATTAGAAGCTATTTTAAATTCCCAGGAGCAGAAAATTTTGTGCTTAAGGTGGCTCCCTACAGTTATAGTCCAGTTTAAAATATTTATATAGCTCAGACGTCATCCTCGCGACTCGCGCGTGGAATCGTCGTGGCCCGGTAAAAATCTTGAAACAAGTAAACAAGCCGCGGGAAGTTGTTTTTGTATTTTTATCTACAAAGAAAACGCCAGTTTTTTATTATAATCCTAAACTTTTCAACATTCGAACAGTACGTATGTTGTTAGCTAGTTTTTACCTACATTCAGTGTGTTTTTTTTATATATTTAATACGTTCAGTACTGTATTTCATAATGCTCACAATGTTCAACAACAGTGTCACGGACTGAAATTATATTTTATACTGTCTTGAAGGCACTCCTGAATTGTCACTGAAACTTACGTAAACCCTGACATTCAACTCAGTTCACATGTAGTTTTTTATCTGCTGAATCCAATAAAACTATAATGCAGACAGTTACGAGTTGTTTTATACGAAAAGTCAAACTCTACGTGAATGTTTTGAAAAGTTTTCACACCGATTTTCATAACAAAACTAAATTTAAGAAACGTTGGATTAAGTCAGTGCGTTATTGTGTTCTCAATGTTTCGTATTTTGAATACATATATCTTTTATTTTCATTTCAAATAAGTAAAAAATATCTGTGTGATACATATAAGCCAAAAACTCAAAGAGAAAATTGCTAAAAAAGCCAACTATAAACCCTACGCGTTTCGTGTTCCCCACGCAAATAGTGATCATGTCGAATCGATATTTTGTCACGTCAACAGCTTCAACTGGATTTAGGACTATTTTTCTCGCGTTTCCTTCGGTGAAAGTTTTTTAAACTTTGCACGTTTGCTAAGCATGACGATTCGCCAAACATATCAAAATTTCAAGAAATTCTATAAGACAGATTTTTTGTAGTCGTTATTCATGAATATCTCAAAACCGGCCTTATAAACATCCCTTCAAATTTTAATATGTCATTCCCCTTTCAACCATAAATCTTTAAAAAAAAATTCAGAAAAATTGACCGAAGGAAA